AACTTGATTGTTCATAACAAAATATAACAATACCACTGTGGGCAAGTAATGGTAACGGATACGATAAAGGACAAAAGATAACAAGTGTTGTGTTAATGCTATATTTATCTAATATATTTGATTTACAGCGACAGTTTTGCACATGCATTCACCTTAAAAATCCATGTCAATTCTGACCTGGAAAAAAAGAAAATAATTTACTGAATAATAAGTAGTTAATTATGCCCTTATTTACAAAGAAAAAAGAAAAAAAACAACAACAAAAAACTCAATATAGGCTTCACAGAGGAAAAAATCAACAAGGTATTAATTATAAATTATTCTCGGTTGTAATTTCATTCGATTACCAATTTTACAATATTAGATAAAATTATCGGGTTACAAAAGGGGAATAAACTTAGGCCCAAAGGGCCTGAAACAAAACCTTTTAAATTTTTTTTAAACATTGATCAGTTTGGTGGGCATTTAAAAAAAATAATAATCTAAAAGCGGAAATAAATTAAAAAATCGAAATTTTTGTGCAAATTTTTAAAGCTCGTTTAAGAGTGAAACGCCTTGAAAACATTTTTTTTTAAATTTTGGGTTTCTTTTTTCAACAATTAGAATCAATATTCTGGGAAAACAAAATTGAGTGATTGATCACAGGTCAATAGGCTAGACCTACATCTAATGGAATATTAATCTCGAAAAATTATTTCCAGTCCTGTCATATCCAATTACCTGAGTGGAGTCCCTTTAAGAATAAATATTCAGAAGAAAGGATAAAATTAAAGCTTGTTATATAAGAAACATATACATGAGAACGTTATTTTGATTGGCTGAATTCAGTTTGTTTTAGAACATTTGTTTATGTAAATAAGTCTCCGCTTACGAAAAAAGAACTGAAAAATTGAGATCCGATTGCATCATATAAAACTTAAATTAGATGAGAAAATATAAAATATTACGCAGTGAGAAATTTAATAATAATAATAATGTTGTCCACGGGTGATAAAAAAGGCAAAATCCCCAGATCTTTTACAAAATCACAAATATATTAACTAAAACAGTAGCTAAATATTTGTCACGAAAAGTTTTTTTTCTTGTTTTCTTATTTAATGAATGCGCATTATTTGGCAAAACACGCTTGTTACAGATACGGCATTTAGACAACATATATAAACAAGAGGGCAATGATGGCCCTAAAATCGCTCACCACCATGATAAGGAACATAATTATATAAGTACTATTACAATCTATAAACAAAAGCAGATAATCTAAACCTAAAACTGATATCACAAAGTTCATATTTGTATCTGAAATAGTGGATGTGTAAAAACATTTACTGGTTGTCATTGCATATAACATAACATAACATAACATAAGGACATATATGGAAAGTCAATGACCCCCACAACGTTTTAGAAGTGCGCGGGTCCAGTCTATTATTTATGTTGAGTAAGACTAAAAAACGGATTGGAGCACCACACCAAATATCTTATTCCGGTCTATACCGGTCAAGGCGCTTGAATGATTAAATGCTACAATTTCGCCTTTACAACCAAGGGAATGAACTTTAAAACGTGTAATTCATCTCCACACATCGATTTATATACGATAATGAATGCAAAATGTAAGAATCGATGAAAAAAAAAACAACAACGATATTTGTCTATTTTGTGATCATGATTTCTGCAAGCGTCTAGAGGTATTGCTCCAATCCTGTATTGAGTTAAATCCATGAGGATTGAGTTAAATCCATTTATGTTAAACAGAATTAAACATTCATGATGAGCTTATGACATAATATCGTTCAGAACACTTCGGAAAATCTCCATTCTTAAAACGAGTTTGGCAGTTTTTATTAATTCTTTATATTGTATCATAAATTATTTCCATTATCAATCATTGTTTAATTACCATAATATTTGCCAATCACAACTTGATAGCAAAAAAGAAGAGCATAATGTCACTTTAAGATCTGTGTACTACTGAATTACAGATAATTTCAGACATAATTTCAGCCAATGAAAAAGTAAATTATTATGTAAGTAGCATCATAAAAGGTCACGGACAGGCGCTCATGAATTCATTAATGCAGATATATGAGTTTATGACCATTTATAAACAATAATTGCTAGTTGGCCAAGATATGTTCAAAGGTCTTATGGCAACCATGGACATTTTAGGGAGTACCAATTTGTATTAACGCCTAACTTACTGGAATGGTAAGTTATTAACGACAATCTAATTAAAATCAGCTCCTAATTAATGCTACGCTAAGATCAGACGGGCACCATTAGGTCATTTTCTCGTGACCATTCAAACAGCCAATCATCCGCGAACAATTTGAAAGCGATACAGTTTCTAACTTTAACCGCTGGAAAAACCAATACTGAGTAGGTAATTTTCACGACTTCGAGAACAAAAATGGCGTTGTCCATTATGCCTGAAAGTATCTGCCCATGAAAAAAATTAGTCTTTAATTTCCAGGTTATTCAAATTACTTCAAACAATTTTTCTATCAACAAAATGAGCAATTAGTTTTTTTATTCACGGACAGCGATATTTTAATACTTTGTCTTATGCCTATCTGTAAAGGACGGTTTGATTGCAGGTGCTACAAATAGCTTTCTCGGGAAATCCGAATAACAATGAAGGCGAAACAATTACTGAAGCAATCAGATCTGCATTAATTAAATCTAAACTTTAGTCCGATTGTGATTAAACATTGCCGTCTCAATAGTATGGTGGTTGATTTGGAACGTTTTTGTGTGTCGTGTCATAGTGCTCTATAACTAAAGATATACATGTACTATGCTGAAATTTAATAAAAGAAAATATACATCATTGCTACACAGTCTATTTGTAGATAAAGAATATAAATATAATCTCTTAATACGTACTCGCTTATAGTGAATTTTCGGCTATAACGAACCATTTTTTCAAGCCCCAAATGACGGAAAACATTTTAATTTCCTCGGTTATAACAAATTGTTATAATTGAAATATCGGGATGCGCTCGATTAGGATCAGTACATTAAATAAACTATCCGATAACTAAACAATCGAATGATTGCACAGGTTAGTTATGGCTTCAGGGAATAAAGATTTTGAAAAATGTTCTCACTACATAATTTCCTTCTTGTTACGGAAAATTTGTATTTCACACCCTCAGATGATTGCTGTAAATACCCAATGATTGCCGAGTAATCGATTTTTTGTGTTTGCAATATTAACCAAACGCTAATTAACAAATAGCAAAAGAAAACAAATGGTAAGAACTTCATAGACAATTAATACATCAACAAATAAATGTACCATGCACACAATATATTGCTCTATAAAATGCCCCGCATTAAATAACCGCTGCAGTAAAATACCGGTTACACCGGTAACCAGTGAAGAGTATGGCTTTTTCACGTCAAATTTCCCCATCCAAACAAGATTTTGCTACTACGTTTTAGCGAACTTCGGATATTACGAACGAACGATATTTTAATGTCCCATTGAGTTCGTTATAACCGGAGTCGACTGTATGTCGTATTTGTATACATGTATATATTCAGTGCATTATTTCGCATTATTTGTTTCACCATCAACCATCAGCTGGTGAGATTATCACTAAAGATGTAATAGACTATGAAGAAATGAGTATACTCGGGCAGTTAGAATACCGTGTTGAATGTTACGTTAACGATGGATACGTTGATTCTGACGTAGAGACGTTCACGTTGCGTATTAATGACGATAATGAACCGCCGGAGTTCCAGCAATCGACATGCAAATTAACACAGCCTAACGAAGGCCATGTAAGTATTTTATTAGTTTTAAAGATTTTTGATGATAGGTTATATGGTCCTATATATATAAAACTATGTAACTATATAAACGTCACGATTATCCAATGACAAGTCACGTTACAAATGTGCAGTATAAAGTTTTTTTTATAATACATGTAACGTCACTTTTCATTGGATAATCCTGATGTTTATATAGTTATAAATACAATATGTCAATAAAACATTATGTCGATTTATGAAGATATTTTACTTTTCTCTAAAAGAAAAATGATGCTTGCTGTACTATAAATTCGTTATAAAGATTTTTAACAGATTATATGGCCATATATAATAGGTTGTTTGGAAATATGACTCGAGACATTATAACTAATAATAGAAACGTCTCGATTATCCAATGAAAAGTGATATTATAAACGTGCGGTATTATCGCATTCCCGGGTAATCAGATTTGCCTCTCATTATCTACGATGATTTTTATTTACATGGCTAAATTTTCTTATTCTACTTTTATTCGTTTTTTTTAATTATGTATGTGTGCGCTATGCGTGCGTGTGTGTGCGTGCGTGTGTGTGCTTCTTTTCTTATGCAAGAAATTTGAAAGAATTTAATTGACTGTACTACCTCTACGAGAATATTGCACTTCTTTGTGACATGTGTTTGTCTTTTGGAAAATTTAAGATCTTTTGCTACGACAATACGTAACACTGCAAAGAAGGGGTGTAATTCATTTAGCTGTAATTTTTGGCGCAAAAAAATCTCTGATAGATTGCTTGCGTATATTCAGCATGGTACACAAGGTAGGCTGCCCGGACTTTGATGATGACATACAAGGCGAAGATATTTACGATGATCATAAATATAAAATGGATTGTGGAATTGTGTCATTGACAAGCATACTGGTTGTATATCATTCATCACATGCTTGATATGCCATATCCATGTAAAGGTCAATTCTGGGTCACACAATAACTTGATACTTTGACCCAGGTCATTTTGCATAGGTCATTGGCAAATATTTGGACTATTTATACATTACTAATATAGTCATATATTGGTCTCAGCTTTAACATTTTAATAATTTGATTTATTTGTTATCTTTATAAATGTTACATGGTAATTCAATATCCCCTCACAATATCACAAATAAAGAAAACTATTTCGGTCATAAATCTTACCGAATCGTTGCCCCCTTGAATATGTTCTAATATTTAAACTTCCTGTTTATTTATAGATAAACTTTACAACAAACAGATTATATTTATCATGTTTGAAATAGAAACAATTGAGGGATATAACTTACTACCGTAATAGTAAACGTTGTCAAACGTGACGAAAACATTTTATATCAATAACTTAAACATTTGAAAGGATTATATTGCCTTCATTGTGGTATAAAGATTGATTTTCATGAATTCAAAATGGAGGTATCAGGTCGTAAGGAATGGAGCGATAAACATTCAACATGTAACCAAGGGAGACGTCTTAAATTTCTTTGCCAGCCCTGTGAGTGTGACGGTGATACAATAGAAGCGGAGGCATTCTGTGAAACTTGCAACGAGTTCATCTGTTCTTCATGTCTTAAAGTTCATCGTAAATTGGCTTTGAGTAAAAATCACGTGATCAAGTTGAAGAATGAAATGCCAATATCCTGGGAAAAGCAAAAAGATCCATGTACGGAGTTGTGTTCAGTCCATCATACTGAAATTATAAAGTTTTATTGTGAAGACCATAATTCTGTAGGATGCGGAGATTGTATGGTCCTTAGCCACAAAACGTGTTCTGTTAAACTCGTCAGTGATGTATCCGACAACTATGATACCTGCGAGGAACTCGTGCAAATCAAGAGTAAGACGGAAACCTTTCTGCGTAGAATTTCATCTTACCAAGGTGATATTGTAAATGACATAAAGACTGCTGATGAAATGAGAGAAAAAATTATGAAAGAAATTCACATTTTTCGACAAGAGATTAACGAATATTTGGATAATGCTGAGGCAGATCTGCTGAAACGAATAGATCAGCTTACATCGAAACAAGTGTTTCAGCTTGGGCAAATGGAAAAAGAATTTGAGTCTATGGAAACTGAAATGAGAGAATGTCAAGACAAAATAAGTAAAAATTCAGATAAGATAAATCAATTGTTTGTAATAGCAAAACTTGCTCATGAAAAGATTGAAGCCTGCCAGATTTCAACCGAGAAGATAGGGCCTAAATGTGAGATCGAAATATTTGACTTTGTAAAGTCTCAAGAGTTAGAAAAGCTTGTAACAGGCCAATACAATGTATCCCATTGGGATTATCAATGAGAAAAAGAAAAAGTTACGTACACACAACATAAAGAGCCTGAAAGATGTTCAAACAACGCTGTTAAAGAGTCTTCATGTCAGGTCAGTAAACGATACAATGAAATGCTATATAACAGGAATGGCATTAATTTCATGTGATGAACTCTTGCTTGTTGATTTTGCAAATTATTGTCTTAAACTTTTAAACGTAGAAGAGAATAAGATAACCTGTAGATTAAAAACAGATGGTAAACCATGGGACATTACTGCAATCAATTCAGGATTATTCGCAGTAACAATAAACACAACAGGTGAAATACTATTCATAAATACATCAAATGGAATTTCTAAAAGTCACAGTATTAAGGTCAGAAAGAACTGTAGAGGAATCGACTACCGTAACGGAGTTCTTGTTGTATCGTTCGACACTCCAGCATGCGTTCAGCTACTTGACATAAAAGGGAACATAATGAAAGAGTTTGATATCAGGAGACATTGTTCATTTCCTTATTATATAGCTTCATGTAACGACGACAACAAAAGCTACATTGTGTCTGATACCTTTAAAAATACTCTTGTTGAGTTTACTGTTGATGGGAAAGTAAAAAATAAAGTAACAAGCAGTGATATAAAATTACCAAGAAAACTTGTTATGACACATGACGGGGCGGTTAAGTATGTTGTCAAGATATCAGTGATAGACTAATCATGGTTACACCAAATATAAGAAAGGTTATTCCTATTGCTGTGAAAGGGGCCAAATATCCATTTTGCTTTGCGATAACTGATGATCAAACAAAGATGTTTATTTTTGACATCTCAAATTATGATATCAAAGTTTTTGATATCAATTGATATTTATGTCGTAGGCACAACTTATCATGTATTATCAGAAACTCTCACGTTATTCATGTATATATATTTCATATGAATCTAAAATTCAAAGATTTCTTTTTCAGTTTCATATGCATATTTCATCAATAAAGAAACTTGAAAAGACCATTTTACTACACATGTACATCATGTATGCTTCAAACATTTATTCAATGATTTATATTGATGAAAAGATATTTGGGTTGTTTACTTTTGATGTTTTAGATGTTTGCTTTGTTACCAGAAGGAAGTCGCACTAAATGTGAAATTATTTGTAATTAAAGTAGTAAACAAAGTAGTATTTTGACTTGGTCGCCTCTACAGATTATTGGCGCTTATGGTGATCCCTTATGACTTCTTCGTCGTCTGTCTGTCTATCACAAAACTTGTCCTGACTCAATATTAACTAGTGCAATTTCATCCAAAATTTACAGGAATAATCAATACCGAGTCTAATTGTGCATATCGACGGCATTTTCCGGTTCAATGATTTTTAGTCAGAGTTGTGGCCATTTATTGATTTTGATAGGACTACTCCTCTTATAACACTTATGCAATTTCAGTGATTTTTTACAGGATAGATCTGTGGCTTGAGTACTTGCGCATAAACATGGGTTTTCCGCTTGAATGCTTATTGGCTGAGGTAATGGCCGTTAAATATATTGTATTTATACCGGTTCATGAAATTAATCATTGTATATATACCTTGCCATGTATTTGATTATTGCATTTATACCGTGCCATGTATTCAATTTTGTATATATACCGCGCCATGTATTCGATCATTGTATTTATTTCGCGCCAGAAATTCAATCATTGTATATATACCGCGCCATGTATTCGATTATTGTATTTATACAGTGCAATGTATTCAGTTATTGTATTTATACCTGGTCATGAAATCATTTAAAATGCGTTATTACCAAACCATGAAATTATTACTGGGCCATGCAAAATCAAGTCAGAAAGTGCCAGAGGAACACATGCATGCTATATGTAACACCATTTGCTATTCAATATATAACTATACCACTGTGGGCAAGTAATGGCAACGGATACGATAATGGACAAACGATAACTAGCTTTCTGTTGATGTTATATTTATTTAATATATTGTATTTACAGTGACAGTTTGACACATGCATTCACCTTCATAATTCAGGTCAATTCTGACCTGAAAACAAGCATAATAATTTACCTGAATAATAAGTAGTTAATTATGTCCTTATATTAAAAAAAAAACAAATAAACAAACACAATATTGACTTCACAGGGGGGGGGGATTAAGAAAGTATTAATTATAAATCATTTTAGATTGCAATTTCATTCAATTACAAATTTTACAATATAAGATAAAACGTACATGAAAAATGATGTACATAGTTATTAAAGGTACTCCATTCAGAACCAAAAGCCTAAAAGCATAAAATTTGAATTTCTTACATTGATCAGCTGGGTCACTAAAACAGATTTATATGCAAAAAAATAATCACGAAATATACTTGGAAATAAATTGAAAATCGTATTTTGTGTTATTCTTAGCTTAATTAGAGTGAAATGCTGTGCAAATCTTTTCAATTACTGTCATTTTCCACAATTAAAATAAATGTTCTTGGAAAACAGAGTGAGTGATTGATCTGAAATTTTCCATACAAGTCATTAAGCTAGACCAACACCTAATGGAACATTAATCTCGAACAATTATTTCCAGTCCTGTCATATCAAATAACCTCAGTGGAGACCATTTAAGAGTACATATTCAGAAAAAAGGATAATATGAAAAGCTTGTTAGAAAAGAAATATAAATATGAGAACGTTATTTTGATCGGCTGAATAAAGTTTGTTTTAGAACATTTGTTCATATAAAATAGTCTCCACATTAGATAAAAGAACTGAAAAATTTAGATTCGAGGCAAGAATCGCTTGTTATTAACACAGCATTTAGGCACATATATAAGCAAGAGGGCTATGATGGACCTGTTTATAAAGCTCTCAATGATAAGGAACATATATCAATACTATTACGATCGCAGATATAAAATCTGAACCTAAAAGTTCATATTTGTATCTGAAATAGTGCATGTGTAAAAACATTACTGGTTGTCATTGCATATATAGACATATAAGGAAAATCAATGATCTCCAAAACGTTTAAGATGTACATGGGGGACCAGTCTATTATTTATGTTGAGCGATACTTAAAAAAGGAGTGAAGCATCACACCAAATACTTTATTCCGGTATATACCGGTCAAGGCGATTGAATGATTAAGAGGAAAAGATGAGAAAAGCAGCAACGAGTGGAGCAGTCTTTTTTATAATTCTTTATATTGTATCATTAATTTTTACCATTATCAATCATTGTTTAATTACCATAATATTTGCTAATCACAACTGGACAGCAAAAACAGAAGAGCATGATGTCACTTTAAGATCCGTGTAGTACTGAATTACAGATAATTTCATGTATAATTTCAGCCAATAAAAAGTAAATTATAAGTCATTAGCATCATATTAGGTAAAAAGTCACTGACAGGCTCTCATAATTTCATTACTGCAGATATATGAGTTTATGACAATTTATAAACAATAATTGCTAGTTGGCCAAGATATGTTCAAATTAACCATGGCAACCATGGATATTTTAATGCCGTACTACCCTGTTTTAACCCCTAACCTACTTGAATAGTAAGTAGTTAACGATAATCTTATTAAAAACAGCTCCTAATTAATGCTACGCATTAGGATCTGACGGGTACCAATAGGTCATTTTCTTGTGACCATTCAAACAGCCAATCATCGGCGAGCTTTAACAATTTAAAAGCGATACAGTTTCTAATTTTAACCGCTGGAAATACCAAAACTGAGTAGGTAATTTTCACGATTTCGAGAACAAAAATGGCGTTGTCCATTATGCCGATAGGTAAACTACCCATGAAAAATTTAGTATATTATTTTCAGGTTATTTGTTTCAAACTACTTCAGACAATTTTCTGAGCAATTAGTTTTTATTCACAGACAGCGATATTTTAATCCTGCGTCTTATGCCTGTCTGTAAAGGACGGTTTGAATGCATAGCTAAAATAGCTTTCTCGGGAAATCCGAATCACAATGAAGGTGAAGCAAATACTGTCGCAATCAGATCTGCATGCAAGAAATAACTTAAGTAAATCTCAACCTTAGTGAGATTGTGATTAAACATGCATTGCCGTCTGAATAGTATCGTGGTTGATTTGGAACGCCTTTGTGCGTCGTGTCATAGTGCTCTATAATTAAAGATATACATGTACTATGCTCAAATTTGATAAAAGAAAATATTTATAATTGCTACACAGTCTATTAGTCAATAAACAATATAAAATGTTTTTTGTCCTACTGGGCTCCTTGCCGGTGGTCCTGTGTTACTGGGTCGTGTGGGGGTTGCGTTCATTGAACGCCAACCTTCCTTGATGATCTTGTTTCTCATATTTAACTTCAAACAGAAGATATGTTATGTTTAAATTCTACACACTATAGGTAGTCACAATATGAATACATAGTGTCATTAAAAAACTAGCAGTTTGTTTTTTATAAATGGCCATCTTCACTTTACCTATAATATGGAAAATTTGGAACGTAGTTTATTCATTCTTTTATTCAAATAAGACATATTTATCAATACGGATTTCTTAGATTTAAAATGAAATGCAATTAAAATATTTTATTCAAGGATAAAAAAAAATATATCTTTAAAGACACTATATTTTACACTAGATATGTCGTATTTGTAAACATGTATATATTCAGTTCGTTAATTCTTTCATCATCAACCATAAGCTGGTGAGATTATCACTAAAGATGTAATAGACTATGAAGAAATGTGTATACTCGGGCAGTTAGAATACCATGTTGAATGTTACGTTAACGATGGATACGTTGATTCTGACGTAGAGACGTTCACATTGCGAATTAATGACGAGAAAGAACTGTCGGAGTTCCGGAAATTGACATGGCAATTAACACAACCTAACAAAGGCGGTGTAAGTATATTATTAGTTATAAAAAATTTGATTATATGGTCCTATATAAAACTATATAACTATAGAAACGTCACGATTATCCAATGACAAGTGACGTTACAAATGTGCAGTATTATATGTATTATAAAGAAACTTTATACTGCATGTTTATAAGGTCACTTTTCATTGGATAATCGTTACGTTTATATACATTTGTAGTTATATATACACGGCATATGTCGATTTATGAAGAAATCTACTTTTCTCTAAACCAATGATGCTTGCTGTATTATAATTTCGTTATAAAGATTTTTAACAGATTATATGGCCATATAAACGGTTGTTTGGAAATATGACCCGAGCTGTTATAACTAACAATAGAAACGTCTCGATTATCCAATGAAAAGTGACGTTACAAACGTGCAGTATCATCGTATCCCCTGGTTATCAGATTTGCCTCTCATTATCTACGATGATTTTTATTTATATGGCTAAATTTGCTTATTCTACTTTTCTCCGTACTTTTTTTTTTACTCTGGTTTATCCGAACAGTGAAATGATTTATTTCTGCTAAATTGTAGAATTTATTTCTTCTTTTATTTGCTAAATTATAGAATTTATATATATATATATATATATTTTTCTGCTAAATTACAGATTTTTTTTGCTTTATTATATAATTAATTTGTTCCTTATTTTTGCTAAGGTTTTTATTTTTCTAAATTATAAAATTATTTTTTTTCTGCTAAATCATATAATTTATTTGTTCTTTTTTTCTAGATTATATAATATATTTGTTCTTTTTTCTGCTAAATTGTTTAATTGTTTTGTTCAATTTGCCTTTTGGAAAATTTTTGAAAATTTCTTTTTTGCTATCAATACGTAAGACTGCAAAGAAGAGGCGTCATCCATCAATTTGTAATTTTGGTACGAAAAAAAAACAACACATTTTTTCTCTGATTGTTTTCTTGTGTATATTCAGCATGGGACACAGGTAGGCTGCCCGGACATTGATGGGAACATACAAGACGAAGATATTTACGATGATCATGAATATAAAATGGATTGCAGAAAAGGTGACGGGGTGTTTGTCATTGACAATGTATAGGTCAATTATGGGACATACAATAACTTGATACTCTTAACTTTTTTTTCTATTAATTTTGTCTGTGTGAGTGCGCGTATGTGTGTGTGTGCGTGTGTGTGTGTGTGTGTGTGTTTTGTGTTTGTGTTTGTTTTGTTTTTTTAAAGCCAAACGTATTTTTATTTTTGACCCCATCATACTCTTGAATTGAAGATCTCCACTGAGGACCACAAGCCTAAACCATAGAATTTGAATTCCTTACAATAATTAAAGGAAATCCGCTGAGGTCTAAATGCATTAAAACATAAAATTTGAATGTCTTACAAATAGGTAAAACACTTAATTCAGAAAAAACAATCAGCAAAAAATATACTAAATATAAGTGAAAATCGATTTGCATGCTAATTCTTATTAATAAAGAAAAACAAAATACTAAAAAAGTCAAAATGCTTAGTTAACAAACAGTAAACAAAACAAATAATTTGGTAAGTCTGTAGTGTTTATAATAATAATAATAATAACAATAATACACGTGACAGTGTCAAAATTCGCAAAAATTGGGACATTGGACTAGGTAGTGCTTAAATAGAAAACTAAATTAAATTTAACAATACCATGCAAATTTCAATATATTTGGACTATTTATACATTACGTATAGGTTAGTGTTTAATAATATGTATTAACAAAAATAATTGGTCAAGCCTGCCACAGGCAGGCGACCAATTATTTTTGTTAATGCATATTATTAAACATTAACCTATTTAATGATCAACATTATTTTTTCAACCAAAAACAAGGCATTTCACTAAATCACCGATAGCTCCGCCCTTTCGCTCTACAAGATGTCTACACCTTGTCAAGTTTCTAACATATCACATTTAGATATAAGCTAAATAAATGGCCCTGATCAACAAATAATCAGGCACATGTTTTCTGAAATGTCACAGAATTTATACCTTTATCTACAGTAAAACAGTTCATTTTTTTTCTGTGTATCAATTTAGGTTTACAGGTGGAGGGGTCCATTAACAATCAGTTTTCCAGCCAAAAAAATGTAATCATTGTATTCTTAATATCAATGATTGTTAATGCAGTTCATTCCTATCAAGTGGAAAAAAAAATGTTTTGGAAAATATAAAGTTTTAAAACAGTCAGCAATTTATAACAGACATTTTTCTTACAGTTAAAAGGATATAAAAAAGTTACTATGTAATCATTTGTCTCTACATGCCCCACATGTATTATCTATGTAATAAATCAATTGATTGTATCCTCACATTTAGAAACACCTGACCTCGACTAATTTTTTTTATGTTGGCATTGTTTTGCTAACCTTAACATTTTACAAATCAGAGTGTAAACCATACCTCTAACTCCTCCCTAATATAATGCATTATTGAAATTTGTTAGACTGCGGTTAGACGACAGATTAAGTGAATTTTATTTAGTTAGTACACATTAACCAAAGTTAGACTAAGCAGAAATTTGAAAAATACTACAATGTGATTGGACAAAAAATAATGTTGATCATTAAGTATGTATTCATTCATTGTTCTGAGGTTTAACATTTTGATAATTTGATTTATTTGTTATCTTTATAAATGTAACATGGTAATTTAGTACCTCCTGATAATATCGATAAATAGAGAAAAGTAATTATTTCGGTCATAGTTCTAACCGAATTGTTGCCCCTAACGCCTTGAATATGTTCTAATATTTAAACCCTCTGTTTATTTAAAGATAAACTTTACATCAAACAGATTACATTTATCGGGTTTTGAAATAGAAACAATGAAAGGATTTATCTTACTATCGCAGTTGTTAACGTTGTCAAACGTGACGAGAAACTATTTATATCATAACTTAAAACTTTGAGAGGATTCACATTGATTTCATTGTGGTATAAAGATTGATTTTCATAATTTCAAAATGGAAGTATCAGGCCGTAAGGAAGGGGACGATAAACATTCAACAACTAACCAAGCGAGGAAGCTTACAGTTCTTTGCCAGCCTTGTAAGTGTGACGGTGATACAAGAGAAGCGGAGGCGTTCTGTGAAACTTGTAACGAGTTCATCTGTTCTCCATGTCTAAAGGTTCACCGTAAATTGGCTATGACTAAAAATCACGTGATCAAGCCGAAGAATGAAATCCCAATATCAAGGGAAAAGCAAAAAGATCCATGTACGGAGTTGTGTTCAGCCCATCATACTGAAATAATAAAGTTCTATTGTGAATACCATAATTCTGTAGGATGCGGAGATTGTATGGTCCTTAACCACAAAACGTGCTCTGTCAAACTCGTCAGTGATGTATCCGACAACTATGATACCTGCGAGGAACTCGTGCAAATCAAGAAAAAGACGGAAACCTTCCTCCGTAGAATTTCATCTTACCAAGGTGATATTGTAAATGAAATAAAGACTGCTGATGAAATAAGAGAAACAATTATGAATGAAATACACATTTTTCGACAAGAGATTAACGAATATTTGGACAATACTGAGGCAGATCTGATAAAACGAATAGATCAGCTGACATCGAAACAAGTGTCACAGCTTGGGCATATGCAAAAAGAATTTGAGTCTATGGAAACTGAAATGAGAGGATATCAAGACAAAATAAGTAAAAATTCAGACAAGATAAATCAATTGTTTGTAATAGCAAAAGTGTCTCATGAAAAGATTGAAGCCTACCAGATTTCAACCGAGAAGATAGGGCCTAAATGTGAGATCGAAATATTTGACTTTGTTAAGTCCCAAGAGTTAGAAAAAGTTGTAACAGAAAAACGTCCCATTGGTGTAATCAATGAGAAAAAGCGGAAGTTACGTACACACAGCACAAAGAGCCTGAAAGATGTTCAAACAACGCTGTTAAAGAGACTTCATGTAAGGTCAGCAGACGACAGAGAGAAATGCTACATATCAGGAATGGCATTAATTTCATGTGATGAACTCTTACTTGTTGATTTCAATAATGAGTGTCTTAAACTTTTAAACGTAGAAGAGAATAAGATAACCGGTAGATTAAAAACAGATGGTAAACCATGGGACATTACTGCAATCAATTCAAGATTATTCGCAGTAACTATAACAAAAGGTGAAGTTCTTTTCATAAAAACATCAAATGGAATTTCTAAAAGTCACAGTTTTAAGGTCAGACATAACTGTAGAGGAATCGACTACCATAACGGTGTTCTTGTTGTTTCGTACAGTAGTCCAGCCTGCGTTCAGCAACTTGACATAAAAGGGAACATTATGAAAGAGTTTGATATCGCAGAACATTGTTCATGTCCTGATTATATAGTTTATTGTAACGACTGCATTGTGTCTGATACCTTTGGACATGCTCTTGTTGAGTTTACTGTTGATGGGAAAGTAAAGAATAAAATAACAAGCAATAATATAAAATATCCAAGACAACTTGTTTTGACACATGATGGAGCAGTTATTGTTTGTTGTCAAGGTATCAGTGATAGACTTAACATGGTTACACCAAATACAAGAGAGGTGCTTCCTATTGCTGTGAAAGGTGTCAAGAAACCCTGTTGCTTGGCGATATCTGATGATCAGACGAAGATGTTTATTTATGACAGGTCAAATAATGATATCAAAGTGTTTGATATCAATTGATATTTATATCGTAGGCAGAACTTAGATAAAGGTTTATCATGTATTATCAGAAACTCTCACGTTATACATGTATATCTGTATTTTATATGAATCTTAAAATTCAAAGATTCCATTTTCAGTTTCATAGACATTTCATCAATAAAGAATTTTGTAATGACCATTTTTACTATACATGTACATTATATATGCTTCAAACATGTTATCAATGATTTATATTTGTTCAAACATTTTATCAATAAATTATATTTATTCAAAGATATTTGGATTGTTTATTTTTTATGTTTTAGCGGTTTGCTTTGTTACCTGAAGGAAGTCGCACTAAATGTGAAGTTATTTGTCATTAAAGTAGCAAACAAGTAGTATTTTGACTTCATCACTGCATTTTTTACTAATTTAAAAAACAAAACAAAAAAAAGAAGAAATATTTGTTCATGTTAAAGGCCAAATGAATAACCTTTTGGAATTTCTAGAAATTCACCAAAATAAAAAGTTTACGAGAAATAAAAATTAAAGCATTTGTGGGCATAATGGGCCTTTAATTAAAGAAAAAATAGAAACTCTGTAAATCTTAGTTCTTATTGATCTAAAACTATTTTTGTTATTGTTCACAAAGTTTATAATAATAATAATAATTATTATTATTATTATTATTATTATTATTATTATTATAAAACAATAAACATGAAGCATTACGATTCTTCTAGCTAGAAAAAGAAGCTTGAATGTCGTAATAATCACTATACCATTATTCTGATTTGATGTGACATTTGTGTCAAAACAACTACATCTATATATTATTAGTTATGGATATTTTTGACAATTGCAAGTTATATAGCCCTATATAAACGGTTGTTTGTATATATAACCCGAGTTGTCAAATATTCACCATGATAGCTTTAATTAGCTATTTCTCTCATGCTTAATTTTGTCTAGAAAGTATTTGGGGTATCAACTTTGAACATCATAGTTAAACTACATGGAAATGTGTATTGCTTTAGAATTATACCTTTCTTCTGAACAATTTTTGAGTTATTGTTCTTTGAAATTTCTCAAAACTCCATTTTTTGTAGAAACATTTAACTTCTTAAAACCCTGCTGACAAAGCGGCTGGTTGGGATATCTCAGCCGGGGCAGGGGCAAAAACTTTACTAAAACCCTGTTTATAGTTTCACTTATTGTGCACATGAAAACGCTAAACTGGGTCTTGATATTCCCCTTAATATCAGCTCATGAATGAACTGATGACTTTTGAGAAAATATGGGAAATTTTCATATTCACTTTTTTACGTGTGCATACATATATTTACAGTTTATGATTACGAACATTAATGTTCAAACAAAAGGTCAAAGAAAAAAATAAAGCAAGAACATGTTAGTTAATAAGTCTACTTCGAGTCTACTGGAAATTAACTTGTTAGTTTTTATTGTACTTTAAATGATTTAATTTTCTTTTAACCAAAAATATCAAGATGTGAAAAACCTATGACTTCTTTTATATAACTAAATAAACGTTGTTGTTGCTGCTGCTTTTGTTGTTTTTAGCTCGACTATACGAAAAACATGGCGAGCTGTGCTACTCAGCTCGGCGTACGTGTCCATTTCTTTCGTTGCCTCTACAGATTATTGGCTGCATATAGTGGTCACGTATCACTTCTTCGTCGTCTGTCTATCCGTCCGTCACAAAAATTGTCCTGACTATTCCTCAAAAATTACTCGAGCAATTTCATCCAAACTTAACAGGAATGATGAATACCGAGTCTAGTTGTGCATATCGACGGCATTTTCATGTTCAATGATCTTTAATAACAGTTGTGGTCATTTAATGATTTTGATATCAAAGTTTGTCCGGGCAACTCCTGTTATAGCACTTATGCTATTTCAGTGATTTTTTACAGGATAGATCTGTGGCTTGAGTACTTGCGCATATAAGACGGTTTTCCACTTGAATGCTTATTGGCCGTTCTGGCCGTTAAATATATTGTATTTATACCAGGTCATGAATTCAATCATTGTATATATACCTTGCCATGTATTTGATTATTGTATTTATACCGTACCATGTATTCAATTTTGTATATATACAGCGCCATGTATTCGATCATTGTATTAATACCACGCCAGGAATTCAGTCATTGTATATATAACGCGCCATGTATTCGATCATTGTATTTATACCGCGCCATGTATTCGATTATTGCATTTATACCGCGCAATGTATTCAATCATTTTATATATACCGCGCCATGTATTCTATTATTGTACTTATACGGCGCCATGTATTCAATTTTCTATATATACTGGGTCATGTATTCAATTATTGTATATATACCGCGCCATGTATTCAATTATTGTATTTATACCAGGTCAATGTATTCAATTACAGTAACTATACAATTATTGTATTCATACCGGGTCATGTATTCAATTATTGTATTTATACCGTGCCATGTATTCAGTTATTGTATTTATACCGGGTCATGAAATCATTTAAAATGCGTTTTTACCGAACCATGAAATTATTACCGGGCCATGCACAATCAAGTCAGATAGTGCCAGAGGAACACAAGCAATGCTATGTAACACCATTTGCTATTCAAGATAAAACTATACCACTCTGTGCAAGTAATGACAAGGGATACGATAAAGGACAAAAGATAACAAGTGTTGTGTTAATGCTATATTTATTTATTATATTTGATTGACAGCGACAGTTTGGCACATGCATTTTTTTAGGTTAATTCTAACCTGAAACCAAGCATAATAATTTATAGTAACTGTTCTGTTCTGTTCTGTTCCTAAATTCTCAAACTGCCCCTTTTATAAAAAAAATAATAAAAAAGCAACACGTAAAAGACCTTTTATATAATTATGTGAATAGATCTGTTTGAATTTATTATAACATGATTTCTTGGTGCATGCATTATAAAAAATATACATGTATATGTATGTTGTAATATTCGCTGTTTATTAGTTACACATGTGAAAAACCTCATATGCCCCATAGAGTGTTACATGTATCCTGTTTCATATGTTTATTGCACATTGAAGATACATGTTAAACGTTATACTCAGACAATAAATTTGATTATTATATGTTTTGTTCTTGTTTTGTTTGTAATCCATGGTTTGTCATTTGGTATTCCTATCCACAGTGACACAATTGTTTTTTTTAACAATATGCATGCAGCATTTTAAAAAAAAGAAAATGAAAAATGAATAAAGAAAATAAAAAATGGGGCCGATCTGACCTGAGGCCGATTTGACTTGAGGCCGATTTGACTAATTTGGGGCCGATTCGACTTGGGGCCGACCTGACTTGGGGCCGATTTGACTGTTAATCCCTCCGTAGAGTCCCTTTAAGACAAAAAAGTCAGAAACATGATAAAAATAAAAGCTTGTAAGGAAAGAAAGATTTACATGGGATTGTTTTTTTCATTGGCTGAATAACGTTTGGTTTAGTTATAAAAGTCTCCTCTTAAGAAACAAAACCCTGAAAATTCAGCTTTGACTGCATGATCTACAACATAAAATAGATAAAAAAAATCAAATATTACGCAGTTGAAAATAGATTAATAGTAATAATGTTGTCCATGGGTCTCCATCTTTGCAAACAATATTGATAAAACAAAGCAAAATATATACCATAAAAATGCTTGAAATTCTGTGAAAACTATTTTGTAAGAGCTTTAACAAAATCACCCAGAAATTTACTAAAAACAGTAGCTGAATACATGTATTTGTCACGGAAAGTTATTTTTTCTTGTTTTCTCATAATTATAATGAATGCGCCTTACGTGGCAAGACACGCTTTTTACAGACACGGAATTAAGACAATATATATAAACAAGAGGTCCATGATGGCCCTGAAAACGCTCACCTGTTTATAAAGCTCATCATGATAAGGAAAATAATTATATTATTAAAATTGCAAAAATTATAAACAAAAGCAGATATAAAATCTAAACCTGAAAGTGATATCACAAAGTTCATACTCGTATTTGTATCTGAAATAATACATTTGTAAAAACATTACTGGTTGTCATTGCATATAAGGACATATAAGGAAAATCAATGATCCCAAAACGTTTTAGAAGTGTGGGGGGACCAGTCAATTATTTATGTTGAGTAAGACTAAAAAAGATTGGAGCACCACACCAAATACCGTATTCCGGTATATACCGGTCAAGCCGCTTGAATGATTAAAAATAATTAATGCTAAAAGTTCGCTTTTTAACCCAAGGGAATGAACTTGAAAAACGTATAATTTATCTCCACACACCGATTTATATACGATTATGAATGCAAAATGTGAGAATCGATGGGAAAAATCAACAACGATATTTGTCTTTTTTTATCATGATTTCTGCAAGCGTGTAGAGGTATTGCTTCAATCATATATTGAGTTGGATCCACGAGGATTTAGTTAAATCCATTTGTGTTAAACAGAATTAAAGGTTCATGATAAGCCATTATAATATCATTCAGAATGTTTCGGAAAAGCTCCATTCTGAAAACAATTGGGGCATTTTTTTATATAATTTAATTATGTAGTTTTATCTGCTAAATTATATAATCTATTTGTTCTGTTTTTCTGCTAATTATAGATTTAAGTTGTTTGTTCTATTTTGTTGCTAAAATATAAAACGAATGTATCATTTGTTGTGCTAAAATTATAAAAGTATTAAGGTATGCTTTGTGTCTGTGTTTCTTTTCTTATGCAAGACATTTGAAAGAATTTGACTGTACTCTCACCACGAAAATATAGCACTTCTTTGTGACATGTATTTGTCTTTTGGAAAATTTAAGATATTTTGCTATCAATACGTAAGACTGCAAAGAAGGGGTGTAACGCATTTAGTTGTAAATTTTTTGCGCAAAAAATTCTCTGATTGTTTGCTTGTGTATATTCAGCATGGGACACAGGTAGGCTGCCCGGACTTTGATGGGGACATACAAGACGAAGATATTTACGATGATCATATATATAAAATGGATTGCGGAAACGGTGACTGGGTGTTTGTCATTGACAAACATACTGGTTGTATATCGGTAAGGTTTATGCTTTTTCGCACACTTGATATGCCCTATCCATGTTTATCACACACCCGTGCCGATTTTGCGACACGGCCGTGCATATATTTTGACGTGACGGCATTAGCGTTATACAAACATAGTGTAAAGACGCGCTAAATGTTAGCGTTATACTATAGACGCGTCAATGAAAAATTACTCTGATTTCACTTTAAACGGTCTTTATTTTGGGTATGTGATAAATAGAATATCAAATCCGTGTAAGTTCAATACTGAATTTATTGCACTCGTTGGATAAAATAATATTATGCTCGCCAGAGGCTCGCATAATATAATTTTATTCAACTCGTGCAATAGATTCAGTATTGAACTTACACTCATTCAATATCCTCTATTTAACATACACCTGTGCCGATTTCACGACTCTGTAAAAATGGTATTGCATGGCCTTGCATATATTTTCACGTGACGTCATTAGCGTTATACAAACTAGTGTAAAAACGACCTTAATATTAGCGTTATACTATAGGCGGTCAATGAAAAATGATTCTTTTTCACTTTAAACGGTCTTTACTTTGGGTATGTGATAAATAGAATATTAAATTCGGGCAAGTTCATTACTGAATTTATTGCATGATTTGAATATATAATTTACACTCATTCAATTTCCTCTATATAGGTCAATTCAGGGTCATGCAATAACCTGATACCTTGTCCCGGGTCATTTTGAATAGTTCGTACTCATAGTAATGTACGGAAAATCTAAACTTTTTTAATTGGATTTTGTCTGTGTGTGCGTGTGCATGTGCGTGCGTGTGTGTGTTTTGTTGCGTGCGTGCGTGCGTATGTGTGGGGGTTTCTTTTTGTTGGTTTTAAGCGAAGTGTTTAGTATATTTTTATTTTTGACCACATCATACTCTTGAATTAAAGAAGAAACTCCACTGAGGAACAAAAGCCTAAAACCATAGAATTTGAATTTCTTACATTAAAGGTACCTCACTGAGGTCTAAATGCATTAAAAAAAACATAAAATTTAAATGTCTTACAAATAGATAAAACACTTAATTCGGAAAAAAGTATGCAAAACATGACAAAGAAATATACTATATATAATTGAAAATCGATTTGCATGCTAATTCTTATTTAAAAAAGAATACCAGCATAGTCAAAATGCTTCGATAACAAACAAGTAAACAAAACAAATAATTTTGGTAAGTCTGTAGTATTTATAATAATAATAATAATAATAATAATAATAATAATAATAATAATAATTATACACGTGACAGTGTCAAAATTTGTAAAAATTGTCTTTCACTTATAACAGTAGGATGGTACTTTAATAGAATATTCAATTAGATTTAACAATAACATGCAAAATTTCAAAATATTTGGACTATTTATACATTACTTATATGTTTATATATTGTTCTGACGTTTAACATTCATTTGTTATCATGGTAATTCAATACCCCCTTATAATATCAGAAATAAAGAAGAGTAACTATTTCGGTCATAAATTTAACAGAATTGTTGTTCCCCTTGAATACGTTCTAATATTTAAACTTCCTGTTTATTTATAGATAAACTTTACAACAAGCAGATAACATTTACAGTATCGTGTTAGAAATAGAAACAATGAGAATATTTACCTTACTATCGTTATAGTTAACGTTGCCAAACGTGACGAGAAACATTTTATATCAACAAGTTTAAAATTTGAAAGGATTATATTGCTTTCATTGTGGTATAAAGATTGATTTTCATAAATTCAAAATGGAGGTATCAGGTCGTAAGGAATGGGATTGGATGATAAACAGTCAACATCTTACCAAGGGAGGCAATTTACAGTTCTTTGCCAGCCCTGTGAGTGTGACGGTGATACAATAGAAGCGGAGGCATTCTGTGAAACTTGTAACGAGTTCATCTGTTCTCCATGTCTTAAGGTTCATCGTAAATTGGCTGTGAGTAAAAATCACGTGATCAAGTCGAAGGATGAAATGCCAATATCAAGGGAAAAGCAAAAAGATCCATGTACGGAGTTATGTTCAGTCCATCATACTGAAATAATAAAGTTCTATTGTGAAGACCATAATTCTGTAGGATGCGGAGATTGTATGGTCCTTAGCCACAAAACGTGTTCTGTTAAACTCGTCAGTGATGTTTCCGACAACTATGATACCTGCGAAGAACTCGTGCAAATCAAGAGTAAGACGGAAACCTTTCTGCGTAGAATTTTCATCTTACCAAGGTGATATTGTAAATCACATAAGACTGCTGATGAAATGAGAAGAAAAAAATTATGAAAGAAATAGACATTTTTCGACAAGAGATTAACGAATATTTGGATAATGCGAGGCAGATCTGCTGAAACGAATAGATCAGCTTACATCGAAACAAGTGTCTCAGCTTGGGCATATGCAAAAAAGAATTTGAGTCTATGGAAACTGAAATGAGAGAATCAAGACAAAATAAATAAAAATACAGATAAGATAAATCAATTGTTTGTAGTAGCAAAACTTGCTCATGAAAAGATTGAAGCCTGCCAGATTTCTACCGAGCAGCTAGCGTCTAAATATGAGATCGAAATATTTGACTTTGTAAAGTCTCAAGAGTTAGAAAAACTTGTAACAGACAAATGTCCCATTGGTGTTATCAATGAAAAAAAGCGGAAGTTACGTACACATAGCAAAAAGAGCCTAAAAGATGTTCAAACAACGCTGTTAAAAAGTCTTCATGTCAGGTCAGTAAACGATACAAAAGAATGCTTTATAACAGGAATGGCATTAGTTTCATGTGATGAACTTTTGCTTGTTGATCGTGCAAATAATTGTCTTAAACTTTTAAAGGTAGAAGAGAATAAGATTACCTGTATATTAAAAACAGATGGTAAACCATGGGACATTACTGCAATCAATGCAGGATTATTCGCAGTAACTTTATGCACAACAGGTGAAATACTATTCGTAAATACATCAAATGGAATTTCTAAAAGTCACAGTATTAAGGTCAGAAAGAACTGTACAGGAATCGACTACAGTAACGGAGTTCTTGTTATATCGTTCGACACTCCAGCATGCGTTCACCTAATTGACATGAAAGGGAACATAATGAAAGAGTTTGATATTGCGAAACATTGTTCATATCCTTTTTATATAGCTTCATGTAACGACGACAACAAAAGCTACATTCTGTCCGATTACTATAAAATTGCTCTTGTTGAGTTTACTGTTGATGGGAAAGTAAAGGATAAAATAACGAGCAATGATATACAAAGTCCAAGAAAAACTTGTTATGACACATGATGGAGCGCTTATTGTTTGTTGTGAAGGTATCAATGATAGACTAATCACGGTAACACCAGATGCAAGAGAGGTGCTTCCTATTGCTGTGAAAGGTGTCGAGAAACCCCGTAGCTTGGCGATATCTGATGATCAGACGAAGATGTTTATTTATGACAAGTCAAATAATGATATTAAAGTGTTTGATATCAATTGATTTAATTATACATTTATATCGTAGGCACAATTTAGATAAAGGTTTATCATGTATTATCAAAAACTCTTACTTTATACATGTAAAAATGATTTCTATATGAATCTTAAAATTCAAAGATTTCCATTTTCAGTTACATAGACATATTTCATCAATAAAGAATTTTGTAATGATCATTTTTTCTATACATGCACATTATATATCCTTCAAACATGTTATCAATGATTTATATTTGTTCAAACATTTGATCAATAAATTATGTTTATTCAATGATATTTGAATTGTTTAATTTTTTATGTTTTAGCGGTTTGCTTTGTTACCTGAAGGAAGTCCCACTAAATGTGTGAAGTTATTTGTCATTAAAGTAGCAAACAAAGTAGTATTTTGACTTCATCACTGCATGTTTTACTTACTGTCAAAAAACAAACTTAACAAAAATCAAGAGATGGGCAACTTCCTAGCCAGCTAAAATATCACGCGTGCCTGCTAAACTTAAAACTTGTAGCAAGTAAAACTTATTAATCAGATATCAAAATCAGTAAAATAATACATTTTCTGAAAGATTATGCATGTGTCTATGGCTGCAGGTAAAAATATTTACAGTTCCCATTTAAATAAATGTTACATTATTTTTTAAAGAGGACTACTATAATAATTTTTGTTACAAAGCTATTCATATGACAAAAAGTGGCTCAGTAGGTATGTTCTGTCATGTTTTTCTTAGTGAAAGGCATTGAAAGTTACCAATATTTTAACATGCAGCAATAGATAAAAGATTTACCTTTCAAATGGTATATAATATTAAAGGATCAAATGTAAATCCATTAAGTTTATATGCTACAAAATGCCTAGTTTTTCACTTTTTGATAGGCATGAGTGATATTTCAATGGAGTATATAGGAGCTGCTTATCTCTGTTATCTATGTCTCTCAAAAAACTATAAAAAAGAAGAAATATTTGTTCATGTAATAGGCCAAATAAATAAGCTTTTGGAATTTCTAGAAATTCACCAAAATACAAAGCTTTAGAGAAATAAAAATTAAAGTACTTTAGGGTATAATGGGCCTTTAATTAAAGAACAAATAGAAACTCGGTAAATCTAAGTTCTTATTGATCTAAAAATATTTTTGTTATTGCATTCTTCACAAAATTTAAAGTATAATAATAATAATATTAATTATTATTATTATTATTATTACTACTACTACTACACAATAGACATGAAGCATTACGATTCTTCTAGCTAGAAAAAGAAGTATAAATCACTATGCCATTATTCTGGTTTGATGTGACACTTGTGTCAAAACAACTACATCTATTTATTATTAGTTATAAATATTTTTGACAATTGCAAGTTATATAGCCCTATATCAACGGTTGTTTGTATATATAACCTGAGATGTCAAATATTCACCTTGATATCTTTAATTAGTACTTTCTAATGCTTAATTTTGTCTGGAAAGTGTTTGGGGGTATCAACTTGGAACATCATAGTTAAACTACATTGAAATGTGTATTGCTTAAGATTTATATCTTTCTTCTGAATAATTTTTGAGTAATTGTTCTTTGAAATTTCTCAAAACTCAATTTTTTGTAGAAACAGTTAACGTTTTAAAACCCTGCTGACAAAGCGGCTGGTTGGGATATCTCAGCCGAGGCAGGGGCAAAAACTTTACAAAAACCCTGTTTATATTTCCAGTTATTGGATACGTGAAAAGGCTGTGTCAAGATATTCCCCTTTGACTTTTGAGAAAATATGGCGTACAAGGAAGGACAGAATTGTATAAACACACTTCTCGTGAAACATAAACATTGATACTGTACTATAATTACACCGATACGATCTGTTAACTGACTACTAGTAGATATGTAATAAAGCATATGTGTATTTTTATGATTAATGTATGATACGAAATTTTCATATTCACTTTTTTACGTGTGTATACATATATTTACAGTTTATGGTTAAGAATATTAATGTTCAAACAAAAGGTCAAAGAAAAAAATAAGGTAAGGAAATTTTAATAACTCTATTTCAAAGCTAAGAGAAATTAACTTGTATGTTTTTATTGTACTTTAAATGATTTAATTTCTTTAAACCAAAATTAAAAAGATATAAAAAGCCTATGACTTCATTTATATAACTTAATAAACGTTGTTGTTGCTGTTGCTGCTTTTAGCTCAACTATACGAAAAACACGGCGAGATGTACTACTCAGCTCGGCGTACGTGTCCTTTTTTTTGGTCGCCACTACAGATTTTTGCCTGCATACAGTGATAACTTATCACTTCTTCGTCGTCTGTCTGTCCGTCACAAAACTTGTCCTGACTTCTCAATACTTACTGGAATAATTTCATCCAAACTAGTTGTGCATATCGACGGCATTTTCAGGTTAAATGATTTTTAATCTAAGTTGTGGCCTTTAATGATTGTGATATAAAAATTTGTCCGGACTACTTCTCTTCTAGCACTTAAGCAATTCAGTGAATTTTTACAGGATAAATCTGTGGCTTGAGTACTTGCGCATATAACACGGGTTTTCCGCTTGAATGCTTATTGCCTGAGTTATGGCCGTATAGTATATTGTATTAATACCGGGTCATGTATTCGATTATTGTATTTATACCGCACCATGTATTCAATTTTGTATAACTATATACCTTGCCATGTATTCAATCATTGTATTTTTACCGCGCCAGGAATTCGATCATTGTAAATATACCGCGCCATGTATCCGATTATTGTATTTATACCGTGTCATGTATTCAATTATTATATTTTTACCGGGTCATGTTTTCAATTATTATTTTATACCGCGCCACGTATTCAATTATTGTATTTATGTATTTAATGTATTTAATTTTGTATATTTACTTTGCCATATATTCGATTATTGTATTTATACTAGGTCCATGTATTCAATTACCGTAACTATACAATTATTGTATTTATACCGGGTCATGTATTCAATTACTGTATTTATACGGCGCCATGTATTCAATTATTGTATTTATACCTCGCCATGTATTCAATTATTGTATTTATAATGGGTCATGTATTCAATTATTGTATTTATACCGCGCTATGTATTCAATTATTGTATTTATACCGGGCCCTGTATTCAATTATTGTATTTATATCGCTGAATGTATTCAATTATTGTATTTATACCACGCCATGTATTAAGTTATTGTTATCATACCGGGTCATGAAATCATTTAAAATGCGTTATTACCGAACCGTGAAATTATTACCGGTCTATGCACAATCAAGTCAGAAAGTGCCAGAGGAACACAAGCATGCTATGTAACACCATTCGCTATTCAAAATATAACTATACCACTCTGGGCAAGTAATGACAATGGATATGATAATGAACAAAGATAACAAGTGTTGTGTTAATGCTATATTTATTTAATATATTTGATTTACAGTGACAGTTTGGCATTCACCTTCATAATTCAGGTCAATCCTGACCTGTAAACAAGCATAATAATTTACCAGAATAATAATTTAGTAATTAATTCCCTTATATTAGAAACAAATAAACACAATATTGACTTAACAGGGGTGCGGGGGGGGGGGAATCAACAAGGTATTAATTATAAATTATTATCGTTTGTAATTTCATTAGATTACAAATTTTACAATATCAGATAAAATGTACATGAAAAATGTTACATGTAGTTAGTAAAGGTACTCCATTGAGGACCAAAAGCCTCAAAACATAAACTTTGATTTTCTTACATTGATCAGCTGGGGCATTTAAAACAGAAATATATACAA